CATCATATTGATTGACAGATCCCATCGGAGTGAGAGGTATCACTTTAGTGAGCCAGAACAGTCTTGTGGACGAGCGAAACGGTACGAATGAGCCACTTTGATTACAGGAATTCACGAAGTTGAAAGTTTTCACAAGGTTGCCTGTACAAGCTTCGCTGAGTACCCGTTGGCACCCCACGAAGCCGAACTGCGTCTTGCAAGGTTGTCCTTCACACTCTTTATGTGATGACCTCCAGATCGCTAAGAGCCGTGCACGTGCGGAAAGTGCCTCTGATTGGTTCACGTGGGTAATCCACCAATCAAAGGCATCACCACTATATTGCGCTCCCAATATAAATATGGCTACACAAATAGTGGTTGTTAAAGCTGGCCATCTGGTAGTTCCCTTTTTTTAACTAAGAGAACTCACATTTCAATATGTCCCTGCTTGTCGGCTGCTTCTACTATCTGTACACATCGTGAGAAGATTTCCCTGTTAAAGGCATGAGCAGCGCTTTGATAGGAGATGTCGGTAGAGCAGGTCGTTGGCACTTCGGCTGGAAAACTTTGGATATATTATAGTATAATAATAGTGACTTCGGGCGCAGTTTGGCGACGGAGAGGGGTGGGGGGGGGGACATTTTGCACTTTCACTTCTTCACTAGTTTACAAGTCTCACTCTGGTGAAACCTGTGAACTCTTGTGAAGCTGGAGCAAGCTCGTCTAGCCACCATGGTAGAACCTGTCAACTCTTGTAAGCTCACGAAATGGCTCTCTAGATGGGTCGACACGTCGATGGGAAATAGCAAAAGTGCGAATGCCCCCCGTCGCCGAACTGCTCAATGATTTTAATCCATTCTGATGCGTACATATTTCACTTGCCGCCGAACTCAAGGTGCTAGCCGGTGGCGTCAAGTCAAGTAGGCGAGGTGACGTAGATGGACGTGGTGAGCATTCCAACGAACGGGGTGATAACGGGCGATAACACTGTGCACGAACCATGTTGAGTTTCTGAAAAATCATACGCGATTTGTGAAATAGTAGGTTGGCCAATGAAACATGGGATTTTATAAAATTCAAAATTTCAATTTCAAAAATTGTGAAATTTTAAATGTTATGGGCGCGCATTACACTTCATTTCATGGAGAATTCTGTGCTCTAGTAGACAATCTGCTCAGGTTTTGGGCAGAAGTAAAATAATGACGCGTAAAAGTGCATATATTAGACATGTAAAAAATGGATTTTTCAAGGAAAAAAAGAGATTTTGTAAATTGCTCCCTTGACACTGGGGCTATATTTTGCTTGGGGGGCGGCCACTATCCTACACCCACCTTCCTCTAAAGAAAAAATGAGTTCTAAAACTTGCCTCGTGTTCAGGGGCTTCCATTGTTATAGCACTGTAACGCATGATATAACCCAGAAACTAACATAAAGCTTTTAGTAACTGTCAGAATAGGAGTGATTGAAAGAATTATAGAGCGTCAACCGTTTTGAAGGTCGATTTTTGCAAGGGATATTGATTTGGTAGGGGCGGAGCTTTGAAGCTTATATCTGCTTCAATTATTGACATAATCTGTGCAAATCGGGACTCACACGAACGATGTCATCGGCAACGTCGTTCCAATCGCTGTTCACGATGAGACTTGTCTCATCGATCAATATTAATCGATGAAGAATGTTTTCGATTTCCGATATACGGTTCATTCCTGAAATGATTGTGTTGATAGAGCCCCATGAATAGGGAAGTGGATTAGGGCGACGGAGAACAACGAATCAATCGGTGATTGGTAAGGTTACTGAGAACTGTTTCTGAGAATGGGGCTTTTACAAAGAAGTTTCGCGTACTTCAATTAGGCAATGAGAGAGTGGAAAGCATCACCTTGGGTGGGAATGTTTCCATGAAATTACAACGATCACGCTTATGGAAAGCTCGCTCAGGTGAAATCCCAAAGATTGCGCCAGGCGCAGTTCGGCGACGGGGGGCATTTTGTACTATCATTGCTTCCTCAGTTCCGGTTTACAAGTCTCACTCTGGCGAAACCTGTGAACTCTTGTGAAGCTGGAGCAAGCCTAAGCCATCATGTTGAAACCTGTCAACTCGAGAAGAGGCTGCCTAGATAGGATGGGAAGTAGCAAAAGTGCCAAATACCCTCCCCCCCCCCTTCGCAGAACTGCGCCTTTGCG